GAGGAGGAGGAGGAGGAGGAGGAGGAGGAGATTGGATTTACACCCTGCCCTTCACTTGGAGTCTCAGAGCGGCTTACAAACTCTTTTCCCTTCCCCTCCCCACAACAGACACCCTGTGAGGTGGGTGGGGCTGAGAGAGCTCTGACAGAAACGGCTCTTTTTCAAGGACAGCTGTGCCAGAGCTTGTGACTGACCCAAGGTCATCCAGCGAGGTGCAAGTGGAGGAGTGGGGAATCAAACCCGGTTCTCCCAGATTAGAGTCCGCACACTTAACCACTACACCAAACTGGCTTAGAGGGAGCATTGGCTGAGTGAGAGAACTTGTGGCTGACCCAAGGTCACACCAGCAGCTGCATGTGGAGGAGTGGGGAATCAAACCCGGTTCTCCCATATTAGAGTCCACACACTTAACCACTACACCAAACTGGCACTGGAGAACTGGAAGCCATCTGGAAAAAGAAATGATAGCTGATTGTGGAATCAACACTCTGCCCACCGAGTTTCAGGAATACAACCTCTGCAGACGTCTGTAAGGTGTCAACCAACGCTCCCTCTCAGCTGTGGAGTCTTGTGAGCAAAAATTCTACTTTGTGAGCTACCGGCTTTAAAGTGGTGAGCGAGCGATTTGGCTGCTGCATAAATTAGTTTGTTCTGAAGCCCTCCTTCCTTTTTTTTTTTAAATATACCTTTTTATTCATTTCCCCCCAACAATTTTAACAACAGCTTTTGGCACTCAAAAGAGTCACAAAATGAAAAACGAGTCATGTAACAGTTGTCAACTAACATATACATAAACAGTTTCGACACACCACTTTAAAAGATTGAAATAACTGCCATGAATTCACTTGAAAATATGCAGTCATTAAAAAACCTTTTTTTACATACGGAACTGGGAAACATAGGAACATCAGAAGAGCCCTGCCGGATCAGACCAGTGAGGGTCCATCTACTCCAGCCTCCTGTCTCACACAGGGGCCAGCCAGTACCTCTGGAGGGCCAACAACAGGGCAGAGAGGCCGAGGCCTTCCTAAGAACATCAGAAGAGCCCTGCTGGATCAGACCAGGGAGGGTCCCTCTAGTCCAGCCTCCTGTCTCACACAGGGGCCAGCCAGTACCTCTGGAGGGCCAACAACAGGGCAGAGAGGCCGAGGCCTTCCTAAGAACATCAGAAGAGCCCTGCTGGATCAGACCAGGGAGGGTCCCTCTAGTCCAGCCTCCTGTCTCACACAGGGGCCAGCCAGTACCTCTGGAGGGCCAACAACAGGGCAGAGAGGCCGAGGCCTTCCTAAGAACATCAGAAGAGCCCTGCTGGATCAGACCAGGGAGGGTCCCTCTAGTCCAGCCTCCTGTCTCACACAGGGGCCAGCCAGTACCTCTGGAGGGCCAACAACAGGGCAGAGAGGCCGAGGCCTTCCTAAGAACATCAGAAGAGCCCTGCTGGATCAGACCAGGGAGGGTCCCTCTAGTCCAGCCTCCTGTCTCACACAGGGGCCAGCCAGTACCTCTGGAGGGCCAACAACAGGGCAGAGAGGCCAAGGCCTTCCCCTTATAGGAACCTCAGAAGAGCCCTGCTGGGTCAGACCAGGGAGGGTTCCTCTAGTCCAGCATCCCGTCTCACACAGGGGCCAGCCAGTTCCTCTGGAGGGCCAACAAAAGGCAGGGAGGCCGAGGCCTTCCCCGAAGCGAAGGTGAAAAACTGCACCCATCAGCCTGGGTGAGCCGGTCCTCCACAAAGCGTCCAGATGCCCAGAGAGGCCCACCCCACAGGTGGGGAAGCATGAAGCGGCTCTGCCTCACCTGATCTGACAAGAGCTGCACTTCCTGGAGGATGGAGGCGACGGGCCGACTCCGCTCGCGGCCACGGGTGAACGGCACGATGCAATAGCTGCACATGTTATCACAGCCGCGCATGATGGACCTGCGGGATGGAACAAGAGCAGTACAGAGAGTCAGATGCTGGCAAGGCAGGCTCAATGGGGCACACCAAGCTGCCTTGGACTGAACCAGACCCTCGGTCCATCACGGTCAGTATTGTCTACTCTGACTGGCAGCCGCTCTCCAGGGTCTCAGGCAGATAAAAGTCTTTCCCATCACCTCCTGCCTGATCCTTTTTAACTGGAGATGCCGGGGATTGAACCCGGGACCTTCTGCATGCAAAGCTGAGGATTTTCCACTGAGCCACGGCTGCTCCCATGGTAGTCATGAAAATCTGGGTCTACTCTGATGGGTTCTCCAGGGTCTCAGGAAGAGATCTTTCACTATCACCTGCTAACTGGTCCTTTTCACTGGAGATGCCAGGGATTGAACCTTTCCTGCAGGAGTGCACAGGAGCGGAGCTCTGGCAGTAAAGAGCCCAGGGGGCGGGCACATGCAACAAGCCCCACCCCCTGCTCCCAGCAGCCCTCAGTCAGAGCAAGACGCAGCCAGGTAAGTTGCAGAGCTCCCCCCGGCCCCTTGCCCCAAAAAAGTCCAGTAGCATTTTTAAGACCAAGTTTTATTCAGGTACAAGCTCTCCCTCCTCTGTGAGGACAGATCTGCACGTTCTCCCCCCCCCCCCAGCCTTCTGGCCTAAAACAGTCCAGTGGCACCTTTAAGACCAAGTTTTATTCAGGTACAAGCTCTCCCTCCTCTGCCAGGACAGATCTGCACGTCCCCCCCCC